GAGCCTGAAGGGGCTCCAGGAGAGCTGGAGAGGGACTGGGGATCAGGACTTGGAATTACAGGACCCAGGGAATGGATCCCAGTGGGAAAGGGGAGATTTGGGGGTGAGATTGGGAAGGGATTCCTGGCTGGGAGGGTGGGGAGGGGCTGGTCTGGAATTCCCAGAGAAGCTGTGGCTGCCCCTGGATCCCTGGGAGTGTCCAAGGCCGGGTTGGATTCCCTTGGAGCAGCCTGGGATGTTGGGAAGTGTCCCTGCCCATGGAATGGGACGAGCTTTGAGTTCCTTCCCACCCAACCCATTCCGGGCCCCCTTCGCTCTGATTTCCTGGGGTGAAATCCAAGGAACCGGAACAGAGGGGAATTCTGCGATGATCCACCCACCATTTCCCGCTTTTAACATTCCCGGTGATCCCGATTTTCCCTCTTTTTTTATCCCCCCAGGACGGCAACGACTCCGACGACTTCATGTGAGCGGAGCCGCTCCGGCCCCGCCTCTCAAATGCCAAAAAAATTCCCAAAAAACACGGCCTGGGAGCCCCTTCCCTCCCGGCTCCGGACCGGGAACACCCTCTGGAAGGAGCAGCCGGATCCCTGGGAATGCTCCAGCCCCCTGTGCCCCGTTGGTTTTCCCAAAGACAATGGTATTTATTTTGGGGAAGGGATCCTGGGGCCGGTTTCCAGCCCAACCAACGGAGCTGCTGCTGCCTCTGGAATTCCGCTCTTCCCGCTGGGAATCGCCAGGAAAACCGGAGGGAGATCCCTCTGTGACAAAGGGGGGAAGGGGGGAGAAAAATTGGGAATTGGGATGAGCTCGGTGGTGGCTCCTGGATAAACCTGGTGGTGAAGATCCAGTTCTGATTCCCGCCCCGAACCCCCTGGAATTCCGCTGCGTTCCCACTTGGAATCCTCCTCTGGAGAGAGGGGTGGAAGGAGGGGGATGAGTTTTCCACAGGATTCGCCGGGTGGATCTTCCCACCTGGGTATTCCATGGGGTTTTGGGAAGGGGGGGAATCCCTGGATAATCCCGGTGTACATATCCCGATTAAACTGGTGCCATGCAGGCAACATCCCGGAGCAACGGGAATTCTGGGAAGGGGGGGGGAAACAGGGAAAAGGGCCCCTCAACGAGCCCGGATCATCACAGGCTTGGTGAAAAATCATGGAATGTTCCGGGAGAAAAGGGTAATAACACACCTGGAAGGAGCTGCTTCCAGCAATTCCCAGCATTCCCGAGGGGATAATGGGCATAAGGATGCCTTGAGCCCTCCCAGTTCCATACTGGGAAGAGCAGGAGGAGGGTGTGGGATGTGTTTTCCTCTTTTTTAGGGATATGGGAAGGGGGGAATCCATGGGAAAACTGAGGCCTGGAGCAGCCACGGGTGTCCCCCCCCTTTCCCAGGAAAAGCAGGGAGAAGGTGGGAGTGTGGGAATGGGGGGGCCCCTCCCTGTCCTGCCCACAAAGGGCCCTTTCATGGATGGGG